CTACATTAATATAAAAAAGTATTGCAGCTAATTTTAAAGGCCTTTACTGTTATTAGCTGTGACAGTATGTGTCTGTGTCTCTATACCTACACAATTATAAAGCATTATAGAATAATATTATGTTTCATGCATACTGTTTGCAGCACTCATTGAAAGCTCTTCTCCTTCATCAGTGTCTACAATTACCAATGAATGAAATACTAATTTACTGTTACATACCATTACTCAAGGAATCTTGGTCTTCATCTTCAGCATTTGAATCTTAATATTAATAAATACATTATGTTCAACATAATAATATGAATTCATCAACACCCACCTTGAGATGTCATATTAGGACGATATAACTGAACCCATAACTCATACCTCTCATTCGGAATGTCATACCCATTTTCAAACCTCTTAGAGAATTGCCTGTGCTCACTCATAGTAAAATCTAAAAATATGGTCCAATATCAGATTAAATTTTTCACAATAAGATATATTACTTGCACTTCTCTTCAACTCTTTTACTCTATTAGCTTCCTTCTGGTTCTCAAGTCTAGCAATTCTTTTACGCTCCTTCTCCTTCAAGGCTTCCTGCTTCATTCTTTCCTTTTCCTCTATACATGTCATGAATTCAACACTAGTCAATACTCTTCCGCATGATTTAGGCTTCAGGGTGGACTTGCTACTGGGATGACTAGGAGTTTTTAGAAAAAACTCTATAGGCATTACTCTTCGCATTGGAGTGACAGCTTGCGATAAATCATTCTCTGAAAGTGATCTCTCCAAGAGACTAGAATTGAATGAAGAATCATGATCCCTCGTTCTCTTTATGTCTGGACTATAGAGCGGTATGTATGCTAGACCAGTCTGGTCTAACAGTGAACGGCTGATGGTTTCTTGCTTGTCATTGCCAGTTTTAATAGCATTTCTGTTGAAAGGACATATGCCGGTTACTTCAAAGCCACTTGCAATGTTTCTCTGTGTCATTGACCTTCTCCATGCATCAGCAAATAATACAGAGAAATCGTATCTGGTTACCACACGACCAGGGTTTTTAGTGCAGAACTCATGACACACAGCCTTCCAAGCAGTTTTTAATGGCCCAAAACACCCTTTGTCAAGTGGCTGTGTTAAATGAGTGGTATTGGGTGGCAATACAAATATTAAAATTTGCTCTTCAGCTGCTATCTTGATAAGGTCAGGACCATAATGAGTAGAATGACCATCCATCAGGAGAAGGAGAGGACGTACCCTAGGAACACTTGTTAAAAACAGCTTACGAAACCAGTACAAAAACAGCTCTCTACTGATCCATTCATTTGGAGATGAGCCGTAAAGTGTACCTGGTATTTCTCCTACCATTAGCTGATCATTAAAGGTCTTACGATCAAATATTACAAATGGAGGCAACGGTACTCCAGCTGCACAAGTGCATGCCAGAACTGTGATTTGAGACTTCCCTTCTCCAGTGATTTGACTGACATTCTTAGCTCCACGACAACTCACAACTTTCAAAGATTTAGGATTCAATGGGAGTCCTGTTTCATCACAGTTGAATATGCGAGTTGGATTGTTGAATAGAGAATTTTCTTTAAGTGTATCTTCAAGTATATCAAAATACTTTTGTATGACACTATTATCAGTGGCCATGGCTCTCGAAAGACTTAAAGGCACAGCAGTACGAAGTGATAATTCACTGTGCCTGCTACAAAATTTCTGCCACCATCCATAAGAAATTGAGACGTCACTTAAACCCTTTGACTGAATTGTTTGTCTTACTAGTGCAAGAACTTCTGAAACTGTACGGGGAAATCCAATCTGAGAACATTTGATTAAAAACTTAGCCAAAATAACCTCTTCTTCTTTTGTAAGATACGGCACTGGGCCAGGTTTAGTTCCATGTTGAACATTTCCCCTGATCCTGTCATAAAGTGTTGATTTGGGAATGCCATATAGCTCCGCTGCAAGTCTAACTGTCAACCCCTCTTCTTCAACTGCTTTGATAGCATTTGTCATGCTTATTTCAGGCCATGTAGAGTATGTACATGGGCGTGTCGCCATCTAAAAAAGACATTAACATAAAAAATTGATTATCATACCAATGACATGTAAACATGGGGAAAAGGCTTGGTGCTAGATTGATGTACCTTTATTTTACAGAACTAAAGCCTGAGCAATTTGCACCTTGCATGCACTATGGCTACACATGATAGAGCAGCTTTGAAAACAAACTGCATGCTATACAAACAAATTTTGTTTTTATAGTGACTTACATTCAATAGAGGTAGTATTTATGATAAGAAAAG